TTGTAAAAAATACATACATTCCAGAAACGGTCAATTTCGCAGTAATGCAAATCATTTTTAACAGGCTCTCACAAATTCAAGGAAAACAGTGATTCTTAAATATTGCACGTTTATGTAAATTGTTATTCTTTGGTTCAAAAACTGAGAACAACTTCTGCGCATTTATGTCCAATACAAACAATGAACTCATTTGACAACAATTATTACAGATATACTGATTCCTAATATATAAGTAGTTCTCTTTTAGAGCCATAAGAATATGTAAAGTATCAAAAATCTGGGCTAAAATTAATTTCATCTCTAAAGTGTACTTTTTTGATTGTACTGATTACTGTTTATATCGGTTTGCTGCTGACGAAAACGTTCAAATAAAAAAGTGTGTGTTTAAAATATTTTAAAAAGCATTGACAATTTTGATTTTTTTGTGGATTTTGGATATGCTTCTTCTTCTGAGTGTGCCCTCTTAGTGATAGTAAAATTAATTTACGTAGACTAGGATGTGTAACATTTTGTTTTGTTTAGTTTGTATGATTTAAATTCAATTAATGATGATGTAAATTAAATTAGTATGTATGGGGTAATTTGTATTAATTTGAAATTCAAATATAATACATTTTGCCGTTATCATTAAATCATTCTATATCATTTACACTATATATGGCCAGCAGGCACACATTTTTCCACTCAGGCAATAAAACACTAAAAGCATTTAAGTTTCATTTTGTCTCATTCAATCTCGTAATGTTATTGAAATATTGTGATTTTCTCATTTCGGTAAAAGCTTTAATTCAACCCTCTAGGGATTCAAATTGGATGATTTTCGTAAGGAGAAGTGACAGTAGCCATAAAATAAAGCCCTAAATATTATCGGCTTTCAATAAAACTTGTCGTTGCCGTCGTTATTATGTTACATATACTGATTAGATAGATATGAATGCTTGTCCGTCTAGTATGAGTAAATATGTGGTTTTCCGAGGATTTTATGGCTATTTAGAAATTAGGGCCACTAAATCAGCAATGAAAGGAGACGACCATTTTTTCACATTGAACGCACACAAAAGAAATCAAACCATTCTTTTGAGCAAATGCTTACACAAGATGAAATTAGTTTCTTGTTCTTAAATAGTTCCATTACTCAATAAGCAATATTTTGTTCGAATAATTGTCATACTTGCCGCTTATCAAACCCTAATTACGATAAAGAGCATTTTCTCGAAACTTGCACATAGTAAATCACGCAATAAAGCCTCATGAGTATTGCTATCGCACCGCTGGGAATCAATAACTTCCAGTGCGAATTCAGAAAACAATGAAAATAGATACAATAGAGAAGGAATTCAACCATTATCTGCGACTATTATATGCTTCTTATATTTTATCAAGCGAAACAATAGAAACGTTATCGGCATTTGTGTGCGGATGGGGAGTATATAAGACAATTTATGAAGGAATACACTCGGATTGCATATTAGAATTATACCAGCTAGGTTGAAGGTATTCAATTTAGCCTATAAGAAGAAAGGTGCAAACCTAATTATAGACCAAGTGTACTTCGTAATTTGGTGTCATGTAGGATATTTTTGGTACCTATTAGAAGATACTCATATTGGCAAATGAATAGAATTTATGGAAGTTTTTGATGTTTAATCATATCAGAGCTGAACACGTTAATCAATGTTGCTGGATGGATTATTAGTAACTTTGAGGTTGAGTTTGCATGAAAAGTGCATCAATTATGTACACAATTAGTTACTAATAACTACACTCAGCCGTCATACAAGGCTTTCATCTTTGCCGTCTTTTCCATCGGCTCATTGGATTTAATATTTAATAAAATTAACTTTTTGGTACTATTTTCTCATGATACCCATACGGGATTCAGTATGGGTATTCACTAATACAGTTCTCGCAAGGTTTTGATTGCTCTATTCTAAGCGTGTTTTAAATGTTTAACATTGTTGTGTTTACATTCTAAGACTATAAGTTTATATGTGCAACTGTCGATTTTATTCGTTTATGCACCATTGGCTTATTTGTGCATTGGAAAACCTACATTTATATATTATTTCTAAATTAAAACATTTCTTACGCGAATATTGCGTGCACCATTTAACTGTTATGGATCATGAGATTTTCATATTGGATGTTAACACGTATAAGTGAAATTCAAAGGCCATAAATACGATTATGTTTTAGTGAGACAATTATTTATATGGCCAGTGTTACATGCAAAAGAGCAGGAAATTCAGTTTTTTTCTAATGCTTAAAAAAACAATTCCCTAAGCATGCATTCCGGAATTAACTTTTTTTCTTGTTATTTTATTGTTGGGAAAAATGTAAGAATGGCGTTTGTCGGATTATTGTCCTTTTAAGACTTTCGTCTCAAGAATTGAGTAAACAATTGATAAAAAATTGTCGTATAAAATTACAGGGGTACGAAATATTGTTGATATTTAGATCCTGCTATTTATAGATATTTGTAAGCAATAAATTTGATTACTTTGCCTATTTGAACAGATAAACCAAGTCTATAATGTATAAGCAGAGCTAAGAAAATGGGACGGGAATTTAGGGTCATAACAACTACCGGCTTTTCAAAATTGAAATATTAATTACGTAATTTTTTACGTGGTATTCACAAAAGCCTTATCTAAAGTTGGACCAAGTTTCCAAGGACCAAGACGAGTTCAAAGCAGACACTAACTTTATAACTGGAAATTTTTTTTACTTAAATCCAGTAACCGGAACATTTAAATTCCGGAACTTTAGGTTCAATAATGTAACTTTTTGTTGCTACCGCAGCCGCTTGGGCAAAAAATTGTAACTTTCAAACAATTTGGAGGCTCAAACTAGGCCTGGGTAACACTATGTTGCGTTGCGCTATTGTGTTATTACTGCTCTCTGAGTTAACGAGTTATAAACTCATCGGTTAATGTGTTATAAGTAATTTATTAAAGCTTTACGAGACCCGAGACTGGAATTTTCACATAAAAAAAAAGGTCATTAACATTTTTTCTGAGAAACGTTTCACTACTTTGTTCAGACAACTAAAAAAGTGATCTAGATTTCCCCAGTAACAGAACTGAGTTTTCTTGTAAAATCGATCTCTTAATTTTTTTGCATAAAAGTTGAGTTTAGTAGCTCGAGCCCTGAGCCAGTACTTTACAGTAAAACGTTAGGAAAAACGCCGTTTTGTTGTTTAGAGACAGTGTTGTTTAGAAATATTGACCTAAAAGTGAAGAAACTCCAGTTTCGCTTTTTTAGTTCGGGAAATATTTTTGGAAATAGACAGAAATAATTATGTTTTGTGTTTGTCCATCATTCGAAGCTGCAAAAAGTTTTCCAAAAATGTATGCAAACCGGTTAAGGAAGCGAGTGTTACAATAAAATTTATCTTTTAATTTTTCATAGAAAATAACTCAATATTATCAGTATTTTAAGTGAAACTAAAAATTAATGCAATTTTTGCGTCGAAAGAATTGCTTAATAGAAAATTTAATGACACTTTAAGAATCTTCAGAGCGATGAGGGCGCCAAATTTTGCAAATGTTTTTTGTAAACTTTTGCTCTGGTCGTTTTTTCAAGATAATCTTAATTACTTTCGGTAAAAAAAACTGAGTAAAACTATTTGGTTTTTGTTCCAAATTCGAAGCTAAAATGGGTTTTCTAAAGTTCCCTACGAACCGGTGAATGAGGCGAATTTTCAAGCAAAATTAATTTTGTAATTTTTGGCTGAAAATGACCCATTACTGTCAGAAACGAAAATCATCAGAAAAATATTTTTTTGAGTTTTCGATTAAAAACTTTTAGTTTTGTGATTGGTTTCGGAGGAAACTTCAATGGTTTTCGGGGAAAAACAGGAGGAATTTTTTTTCGTTTTTGTCCCGAATTCGACGCTGAAAAAGGATTTTGCAAAATTTTTACAAAACTATAGATTTATGTTTTTTATTTTTATTTTTCGCGTAAAAGGCCTCCAGATTGTCAGTAAAAATACTGAGTGAGTAACACTGAGTGAACTGAAACTCTACAAAATAGATCGTTTTTGAGCAGAAAGAAAAGCAAAAAAAAATCAGTCTAAACACTCTTACATCCTTGAGAGGTATTGAGGTGACGAGATTTCCAAATAATCTGTTATTTCCAATTTCCCAATAAACTTTCCCTTCAATTTTTCTTCATTTTTTGATAGAAAATTAATTACACACGTTGGCTACAACTGAAAATTCTGAAATTTTCAATATATTATTAATAAATGACCCTTAAAATAAATCTAAAAACAAGTGAAAAAAGTTATCAGCTTTTTCTCAGCAACAGAACTGAGTTACGGTGCTGGTGCGATGGGTTGGCGCACCAAGTCAGTTGCGTAGCACTGCGCCAACTACAGAAAATTCACTGAGTTACTCAGGCCTAGTTCAAACACATTTTTTGACACAATGTTAGCAAAACTCTCTACGAGACATGCACCAAATTTCACTAAGTTCCAACTAGAAAGTAAATTTTGAAATGTTCCTGAACTTCAGGCTCAAAAACGCAACTTTTAGACATCACAACCTTTTGGTAGAAAACATTACAAACTTCCAACGGGTTCAACGATTAAACACATTTTTTGGCATAGTATTAGCAAAGCCCTAAGCTAAATACGGACGAAATGTTGTTCAGTTTTAAGGGGAGATTGAATTTTTTAAAGTTGCTAAACTTTAGGTTCAAAAGCAGGTTTTAGCCATTGCAACCTCTTAGGAAAAAAATCAGTAAAAATTATTAAATACATATTATATAATGCACAAGCAAATTTGGCTACATCAGCTTTTATAAGAATGGCATCATATTAAAAAAATATATCGAAAGGTAAACGCTCCAAAATCGATCTCTGCTTGGAGAGTAAAAAAATATAATAATCTTCTTCGTTCACCGATAAAGTAGACATTGAACAGGATTAATGAAGCTTAATAATATCACGTTTACTACCGAATAATTTGATAATAATTTTCATTGATTTCTTGCAGGTTTCGATTTTGGCACTTTGGCGAGTGGAGAGAAGTGGTGGTAGATGACAAATTGCCAACTCATAAAGGAAGATTAGTTCATTTGCAGTGTTCAAATTCAACGGAATTTTGGGCTGCATTATTGGAGAAAGCTTATGCCAAGTAAGAACATTACTAGACCTTTAATGCCGTGTTATTAATGCCCTATTTCCTTACAACATTTTAGATTAAAGTAAGTTAAATGTTAATTTTTATAATTTATAGATTTTATGGATCGTATGAAAGTCTGTTAGCGGGTACGACCACAAAAGCGCTTCAGGATTTAACTGGAGGAATAGTTCAAAGCTTTGGACTAACCCACCAGGATCGATTTCTTACCTTCCAAGTTTTGAATTCAGCAGTTCCACGATCTAGTCTTTTAATAGCCACAATTATACAAGTAAGTGCATTGTTTCAAAGTCATACACTCAGTTTCAATTAAATCACTGCTTACGTTTTTAGTTTTTTTTGGACTGGAATTTAGCTCCTGTCTTGATTTTATTTTTATGATTATCTAGAGTTTGATTTACTACGGCTTCGATACCTACAAATAGTGTTTTAATTTCATTAAATTTCTTATTAATTGTTACATTTTATAATCAGATTTCTTGGTCCTTAGTGCACTAAGTTTTACTTTCACTATTTTTTTTGATTGGTACTTTTTACCTTGAGACACCAGCAAACTAAAATTTTATGTTTAATAGTTTACTAAATTCTTATTTGTGCACGTTCTATAGTTGAGAGAGAGATTAGTAGACTCTAGTAGTCTACTAATCTCTGGCTATGCAATGGCTAAGTCGGATATAATTTATTTATTTTCTTTTTACGACGAAAGGTTTTTAATGCCTCGAACATTTTTTTTAAGTGTTATGGGACATTTCGATTAGTGTTTTATTAATTTTAACCATTTCATGCATTTTTGATACTTTGAACCTTTGATGAAAATAGAAAATATGTGCATTCGAAATACTTAGAGATTACTTTACAAAAGTTGAACTGCATGTTCCCTTAAAACCGTTTTGAGTTAAACCTGACAATGTTTCCTAAATATTTTTAAATTTTACTTGATTAAATTAGTTAAACATTCATTTGATCAATTGTTTGAAGACACAACCCATTGATGCGGTTTTTATTTCTTGAGATTTTGTCGTTTATATTAGAAATAAATGTTAATATTTTATATACTTTCTGCCAGATTAATAATAATCAATGAAGTAAATAAAATATTTCCTTTAAATTTCTAAAACACAATGCAATAGTAAGCACATAAAATAGGTCCAAAATTATCAGATCAGGTTTAAAATTAGAATATCAAAGTTTCTCCCCGAATGTTGTTTAAAAATTCGCCGTTGCCGATATCTGCTTATTTCTGCTTTATACATTCAATACATTTTTTATGCCATAATGTTCATCTCCTGATACAGATGTATTTAAGAGGAAAAATGATTTGATTCACCTAAGATGTCTCAAAAACAGCTACTGAAATCAACTCCATAGTCAAAGCATTGTAAAGTAGAAGAGCTTAGAGAATCAGAAATTTTGTTGAAAAGTAATTCAGGTTGGTTCAAAGAAGTTATTTTGTTGAAAATATGTGCACAGTATCGCTGATGTCTCACCCTGCCATTTATAATAAAAATTAAATCAGATTATTTTTTATATAAACGAAACTGCGATAGTATTAACCGCAGACAAGAAATATTTTCAATATACTCAGTTAGTCCCAAATTATTCATTTTTTACTGAAAAATGTTGGATTAGATCTTCATTTTTTGCTTCAATTTTTTCGCATCATCTGGATGATTAATGCTGACTAAATTAATTAATGTCTTGAACTTTGAACCCTCGTTCCCGTTAAGGGGTTGAAACAAGGAGGCTACAAATATTCATTTAAAGTGGCCCCCTTACAAATAAAATTGACGCTTCTTTCCGATTTTTCATATTTTCAACTGCAAGAAAGATATTAAGGGTGGGAAGTTTTCAAATTGACACCCGGTATGCGGTGATCTTTGACAATTTAATAGCGAAAACAAGTTATTTGTTTTGTTTAGGATAAAGACAGTAAAAGGCAACTAAGACTCAGAAATGGCCTGATCACGCATCATGCTTATTCAGTAACCGGACTAGCAAGAGTAAGAGGCGCATCGGGAGAAACGCCTTTGGTGCGTCTTCGAAACCCTTGGGCTCGAGGAGAATGGACAGGAGCATGGAGCGAAAGATCGTGGGAATGGGACGGCTTGTCGGCAAGAGACAAAGAATTGTTAAGTGTGCGAGTAGCCAATGATGGCGAGTTCTGGTAAGTGAAACTTTCAGAATTCTCCGGGAAGGCGGATATTAATAGAGACGTTGGGGCGCAAAACCTGCTCGCTTCGCCCAAATTAACTTTATCGAAAAATACAATTATTGAGTATTTATACTATTATCAGACTTAGACAGTGAATACGCAACTTTGCAAGGTTGGAAATGAAAACAACACATTTTTCAGGATGTCTTTTGAAGATTTTGCCAGACACTTCACCCAACTTGACTTAGTCCATATTGGACCAGATGACTGGATGATGGAGAACGCGCTACATTCTAAACAACCCTGGAGGGCAGTATTAGCAAGACGAAGATGGCGGGCTGGGTATAATGCTGGAGGTGGGCCTTCTTATACTGGTAAGTAAGTATAACGATCAATTCTTTTTTAAGCAAAGATTTTCGTCAATATGCATATTAATTATTTTGTTTCAATTTACATTTGAATAACTTTTACAATCCCAAAAAAATGAATAAATTTAGGAAGGAATTACGAAACTGTTACCTCTTAAGGAACATTTTCAGTACAGTATTCAGAAGCCATAAAGTTTCGTATGAAAAATTCAGTTATTAAAATCTTACAGTGCATTTTTATTGATATTCAGACACAACTTCAATGAACCCCCAATTTCGAGTTCAAATTCCCAGAGCGACGAGCAACAAGTGCCACGTGGTGGTTTCTGTTACCCAGTGCTATGAAACGAATGTTACTGATATTAAAAAGAGGAAACCACTTTTTGCCATAGGTTTTGCCGTTTATGAAGTTCCTCCCAGCATGCAAAGATTGACGCCAAATTTTGTAGCAGACCAGGCAAGATGGCTTCAGTCAACATAAAATTATTTGAATTATTTATCGTTAATCTCTTCACAGAAACCGCTAGATGTTACCAACCATTCTATTGCCAGGGAAGTGGTCACATTTTTTACGTTACCTCCAGGTGATTATATCGTCGTTCCCCAGACTAATATACCAAACTTGGATGGGAAGTTTTTGCTCAGGATTTTAACCGATGAACAAAGCAATATTTGGTGAGAGCATAACAATAAACACTTCTTCAACTGTTTCGTTTCTGGGCCTGTATTCCCAAAGAATCTAGTAGATCAATTCCACAAATTTGGAATTTTTCCAGTGATTAATTTCAGTTTTAATCAATTTAAAACACACAAACTTTGGTTATCGTGTTTCCAAAGCTGATCTACACGACCAATGGTTATAATAACGATGCTGCTTTACGATCGTTTACAATGATTGAATTGGATTTAATAATGAGTAGGGAATCGGTTTAAGAGAAAGTGACTGTTATTTCGATTCGAGACGTTTTGCATTTTATTTGGGCTTGTTCAGGGCAATAAAGATAACACTCAAAAATTGATCTTTTCCTCACACAAGGAGATTTAGGGAAAGAATAAAAATTTGATTTTAAATATTTTTCTTAAATTTTAGACTTTATCACTCATTAGATAATGAAACTAGGTCCGTAATTTGGACATTGTGTCCAAATTGTCCAGATAGTGGAACAAAAGTGTTAATATTATGGAGAAAACAGTTTAAAATTCTGCAAACTGGCCGAAAACAACAAAAAATGACTGAAAATCTAAGAAATTAAACATCAATATTTACTTTTAGACTATTATTGCATTCTTATTTATATTTTTATTTATCATGTTATTCGTTGCTGTTATCGATTTTTCACTATAACCATTATAATATGTTTTGAGTGCAGGGCTTTCACTTCAAAACGGAGCACTTTAAATTTCGTGTTCATCCTTTTTCTCAAATCCGTGTTTATTCTCCGTATTGTAAAATTTATTTCAGCTTATTTTCAGCAGTATTAGTATTATATAGTATTATTTCAGCAAATAAATCCAGTTGATCGCCTTTGTCTTATAAAATTTTTTATTTTTTAAGATCTGATTTTCTAAAGCGACCCCCAAGTTGAAATTGAAGTTGTAATACACAAAATTAGTTAATAAAATGTTGTATTAATTACTCTATAAGACCTCACTTTATAGTCAGCAATTTAAATTAATTAATATGCATTGAAATACAAAAAATTTCTTAGCAAACGCAAAGTAAATAATTCTGCTTGTTACCTAAAAACAAACGATTGTATTCTAAATAGCTTTATTTCACTGTGTGAGCCTTTTTAGAACTGTAAAAATTTAGTTTCTTTCAATGCATTTCTCTCTAAAAATACGATAATTTCTGTGATAATATTTTCAATAGTCTACAATGTTAAATGTAATAAAAAATATATTTTTTAGGGAGGTTAACGAAGATAATATGTTAATAAAAAATATAGCTTTAGAATTTTCGGACGATTCCACATCAGCACTTCATGTAAGTATATATTCCCCATTTGTTTGATAAACCAAAAGTTTTAATGTATAAATTCCAAATTACAAATATAATTATGTGATTTCTACGTTTTTATTTTTAAAGATAATAAATAAGGCAACCAAATTTTCTTTCGGTCTTCTCATTTACCAGTAAAATTGGGCAAATTTAGAATGTTGTCAATAAAACAAAAACAATTACTATTTTTGGAAAAAGATTCATTTAGGCAGCATTATAGAAATGTTGACGTTATTTAGAAAGAAGGCAAGTCGATCCTACCGAAACTGTTGCTCAAGTACCCACCGGAAGTCGATGCTAGTCAACTGCAAAAGATACTAAAATCCAATTGGAAGTCTTACCTATGCGATAAACCCAGCTTAGAGCTGTGTAAAAGTCTGATCATGTTAAAAGATTACAATATTAGTGGACGAATCAGTTTAATAGACATCCCTGCGTTGATTCACATGCTTCAGTTTTGGAGGGTAAGCTACTAATAATCAGATAACATCCCCTCTGGAGGATATTCTGTGCTAATGATGAAATAGTCGACTTTTGCAGACCGCAGCAGATTCTTAATCGAACGCTTCGGTGTAAAGTTTTATCAAGTTTTTACTTTTTCTTAAATTAGGTTTAAAAGTTGTAATCTTGAATTTTTGTTCAGTTTTTGAAATTGCATTTGATTATTTTTTTCATTTAAGTTATTGTTATGCCTATTGACTAAATATTTCAATTGCCGGTAGACGAAAATGTAGATTTCCTGGTAATTTCAGTTAGCTTTCCAAAAATTTGAAAGAGGCCACAACAGCGGAAAAACTTCAAGTTACAACCTGAGAGCGTTGCTTTGGGAAGCTGGATGTACTGTCAGCAATAAAGTACTGGAATGTTTGGTGTTGCGATTTGCCAAAAACCGAATTGTGACCACGGAATCTTACATCATGGCACTGATCCGATTATACTTAGCCCACGGTGAGAATCATCAATTAGAGGGTTTTTTAAACCAAAATATTACAACTTTATCATTGGGCCATAACGCCTTTTCGTAATAACTTTTTCATAATTATTTTCGTTTTGTTTTTCATTTTCTTTCAGAGCGATATCACAATTTGGATACTAAAATGAAAAGTAATCCAATATCACTTGAAGAGGTGAGTTTTTATATTGTAATAAACTAAAAATATTAGAATTTAAAAAAATTGCAAATATTATTAATTTAAAATTTAATGTTGAGATTATTCTGCTATCAAATGATGAGACAATTTCTATTTCAGATGACTTTGATGACCATCTACTCATAGTATTTAGCAAGCTTTAGACTAAAATAAATTGTCCAATTTATGCCAAAGAATTTTTTCGTGTAATTATACTTACTGGTATGGTAAGCAAATAATACGGTATTTGTAATTTTTAATATGTAGGTACTTGTATAGGAGTATAGAGTACCATTCCTTGTAAGTCAGCAATAATTTATTATTTATTGAAATGTGCAATTAACTGAGTACCTTAGATGTAACTAATAATTCTGATTTGAATCCTTGAAGACTATGGCCATATATTTTTAAAGTGGATAAAATAGCAGAAGAGCCCTGTCTTGAAGAATTGTTCGTTGTGGCAACTATTGGCAAAAACTTGTGATTGTTTGTTGCCTGAAAATAAATTTTACTTAATAAAAATTAATAATACAATTTATTTGGCTATTTTGCTTTAATCTTGTCCTTTTCAGCACCCAAATCAAAACACTATGCATAACAGAAATATGTTTAGAGAAGAAATTCAAGCCATTCTAAATACAATTCTCTCATATGTACAAAGTGTTTTGGATTTTGAGTAAAAATCTATGCTTGTTGCATTTTCAATAATTCGGTGTTTTCAAACGTCTTTTTTGTTGTTTTATTAATTTGTAGAATATATTGTTAGTTTATTAGCTAAATGAGAACAACAATTTTATAAATTTTATTTAGATATGGCCAATCAACGTATGAAATGTCAGCACTATGAAAGAAATTGCAAAAAAATATTGAGTATTATTATGAAAACTGGTGAGATCGTCCATTGTAATCTTTTGATCTAAAACGGCGCAAAAATGGCCGTAAAACATCTTTTGAAAGATTTTGTTATGATTGCAGCAACAGAGAAAACGAACTAAAATTAAATAATCTAATTCATATTTAAAGACACTCGCTCAAAAAATCCCGGCTACGAAAGATGCTCTATAAAATTGAAAATTTGTTACTACAATCTGAATTTGATTACAAAAATATCCTTAAAGATTTTTCAGAACTTCATTTTTATCACCGTACATTATTTTAGAAATTATACTTACATATATTGTGACTAAATAAAATATTTATAAGGAATTTTTAACTTGCGTGGAGCGCAATGAAATAATTCTATTTTCCCCTACAATAATTTTTTTAAATGAACTATTGCAAGTAAATACATACTATAAAAAGAGAACTTCGTTTCAAAAATGGTATTCGTAATGTACGTAATTTTATTTCATACCTGTTTAATTGACTGTTTAAGTCCATCTCGTGAGATTTTATTTGAGGGATTGTTATACTTCTTTTAGCTAATCTACCTTATAATTTGCGAATTAACATAAAAGTATAATTATATTTTCGAAATGTCCTTGAAGAACAAGTAATGCCTCGATTCGCATACGACGTACGATATTATAAATAATTTGTAGCTAGTTTAGTCACGTAACCAGCTATTTATTTGAAAAGTGTATGTTGGCGATTTTCATCTGATGACGACTTTCGAATAAATAGAAACGTAATAAATATACTCATGTGAATTTCAATAAAGATAATGATAAAAAATCTCAATTAGATTGAAAACTTTTGATATTCTTACTAACATAATATTGAGCTTAAAAATTAAAAGCAGCGGTTTGCTAATAATATTTTTTCCAGAACGACATATTTGCTTTTATCTAACAAAAGCGTAATTAATTTTTTACACTTAATTTAAAAAACCGAGATGTTGTTGTTGATTGGGGTTGAGGATCAGTTTCTTGTTTCTTTATCTCATAATTTATGATATGTGCGAATAATATATTAGAAAGTGATTTGACTGAATTTTATGGGACCATTTTTAGAACGCCTTTGATATTATTCATATAATTCAAGTATTTGTTAATATCTTAATAAAAAAAGACTAGGCTTGATTAACACTGTGTTGAGTTGCGCTATTGAGTTATTGCCGCTGTCTGAGTTAACGAGTTATAATTCATCGGTTGATGAGTTATAAGTGATTTATTAAAGCCTTACGACACCCGAGACTGGAATTTTTACATCTAAAAGAGAGGTTATTAACATTTTTTCTGGGTAACGTTTTACTACTGTTCAAACAACTAAAAAAAAGTAATCTAGATTTTCCAAGGAGTCCAAAGAAAGTCGACGAGTGTTCTTGTCAAATCGATCTATTAATTTTTTTTTGCCAGTATTTTCCAGTAAAACGTTAGGAAAAACGCGGTTTTCCTGTTTAGAAGTATTGACCTAAAAGTGAAGAAACCCCAGTTTCCAAGAGTTTTCCCATAGATAGAATAAATGATTATAAACTTTCGCTTTTTCAGTTCGGGGAACTATTTTTGAAAAAATATAAAATTTGAAATAATTATTAGGATTTTGTCCATCATTCGAAGCAGCAAAAAGTGTACCAAAAATGTATGCAAAGCGGTTAAGGAGGCGAGTGTTCCAATAAAAGGTATCTTATAATTTTTCACAGAAAATACCTGAATATTGTCATTGTTTAATAGAAACTTTATTAAAACTAGAACGACCCGACAATTTAAAGGAACTATGAAGGCTTTCACGGACGGTCAGATTACATTTATAAATGTTTTCCGGGCTTTGAAGCTGTGGTCTATCGGAATTTCTTCCTGACGTTTCGTCCACAACTGCGGTGGACATTTTCAAAGGCGATGAGGCAGTGGGCGAAGTGATCTCCCGTGCTTTCCGACTAAGAATGATTCAACTGCTGGATTCCCAGTCGTATTTATGCCGCCCAGCCGTGTGTGCTCATGCGTGGGGGATGGGTGGAGGTTCCAACGCTTCGGCGCACATGCTGTTTGGCGCAAAACGCGCTTCCAATCTGGATTGAGTGCCGTAATTTCTTCTTTTCTGTTGAAATTGTTTTGGTGTTTAAATATTTCGATGGCCTCCCTGGTGAGTCTCGGGTAGTATCTTTCAGATTGGTGCAGAATGTCAACTTTGTCGAAGCGTATTTGGTGACCGTCTAGTAGTGCGTGCTCCGCTACTGCTGATTTTTCCGTTTGTCCCAATCTGCAACTTCGTTTGTGCTCCGTGATCCTAGTGTT